TCATCAGTATGCAGTATGCCTGTAATCATGTATAATGTATAAGCTCTCTAAGTCCTCATTAAAATGTTGTTTTTTTCATTCCCCAGTAAAAGTTGATTTTTCCCATCTTGAATAATTCTTAGCCCATGCTTATATTTTGAAAACAAAATATCGTCATTACTTGTGAGGATGACCATCTTGTTATCCTTAATTTCTTGATGAACTTTTTAAAACTCAAGGTATATAGTTTAAAACTATGCAACTTTATATATACATATATACGAGGGGAGACCTCATCGCAGTCTACAGCTTCCTCGTAAGGGGGTGTCGAGAGGCAGGAGACCTTTTCTCCATTAACACAAGCGACAGGACCCGCGGGAATGGAGTTAAGCTGAGGCAGGGGAAGTTTAGGCTGGACATCAGGAAGGGGTTCTTCACAGAGAGAGTGGTTGCACACTGGAACAGGCTCCCCAGGGAAGTGGTCACTGCACCGAGCCTGACTGAATTTAAGAAGAGATTGGACTGTGCACTTAGTCACATGGTCTGAACTTGGGTAGACCTGTGCGGTGTCAAGAGTTGGACTTGATGATCCTTAAGGGTCCCTTCCAACTCAGGATATTCTATGATTCTATGATTCTATATATATATATATATATATATATATATATCCATCTTTCATGCAATATGAAATTATTTTCTGTTTTTGAAAAGTGATATTTTTCTTCATTTTACAATGCAGGTGCTTTTGCAAAGCATGTTATATCAGAAAACTGAGCTATGATACGGTTTATAACTTCTGGTAAAAAGTACATAGCTTTTCATTTTAATGTAAGTTCAGAAAGTATTCATGTTTCTAACATGACTTCTGAACATAGCTGCAATAAATATTTTCTTGTTTCTTTATTGTATATAATTGTACTTAGTTACATTGTCTTGTTCTTAGCATGAAAGTTAAGCAGTGCTCTGACTTGTTTGCTTTCAGGTTTTCATATTCCAAGGGGATGAATTCTATAATTAGATATTTTTTTATTATTATTATTTTTTTACATTTTCTACAGATAATTTAGTTTGTACATTAGTCATTATTTTAGGATAGTTCACAATAGTCTCTTAATTGTGCAGCCTGTGGTGAAAGCATGTTGTTGATAACTGAAACAGTGTATAAAAAGAGATCAATTCTGATAGCAAAATATACAGAAAGGCATATCATAGATTTTCTAGCTCTGAAACCAGAGAGAGGAAACACAAAGAGAAGAAATATAATAGCAATGATGACATATACTGTAACTTTTTTATTGTTATATGACTTTGTCTTCTTCCTATTTGTCTTGAACAAGGCCATCACAACTGCGCTCTCTGCTTATGTTTCATTACCCCAAAGGTCTATTGTCAGTCCTACACCATGAGTCTTCTGGTGTCTAAAGAATAGTCAGGACTCTGCAAGTTCTCTACTCAGCTCAACCACCCTCCCACACCAAATTTTTCTCCATTCCTCTTTTCAGTATGTTGCATGCTTCTCCTGCTCTATGCTGTTATCTCTCTTGAAATATTGCAGATCCTCTGGTTCCTAAAAGGAGCAAATGTCAAGTCATGGGTTGGAAAAAAAGGGAGATTAACCCATATCAAAGAATAAGGGAAAGGAGGGAGGGAGGGAATTAGAGCATAAGTGGAAAAGAAGTGTGTGCTTCCAAGATAGGGATAATTTGGACAACTTCCAGAAAGTAAAAAGAAGAAAAGCGAAAACACACATAATAAAAGAGGAATTAGGAACGTAGAAGGAAAGTAAATACACAAAAAGATAATTCCAACCATATTTTTTATTGGCTGGCAGAGAAGGACCTGGGAGTATTGGTTCATAGTTGGCTGAATATGAGCTAGTGACGTGCTCAGATGGCCAAGAAGGCCAACAGCATCTTGGCTTGCCTAAGAAGCAGTGTGGCCAGCAGGTCTAGGGAAGTGATCGTCCCCCTGTACTCAGCTCTGGTGAGGCCGCACCTCAAGTATTGTGCTCAGTTTTGGGCCCCTCACTACAAGAAGGACATCGAGGTGCTCGAGCAATTCTGGAGAAGGGCAACAAAGCTGGTGAGGGGTCTGGAGAACAAGGCTTACGAGGAGCAGCTGAGGGAGCTGGGATTGTTTAGCCTGGAGAAGAGAAGGTTCAGGGGTGACCTTATTGCTCTCTACAGCTACGTTAAAGGAGACTGTAGTGAGGTGGGGATTGGTCTGTTCTCCCACATGCCTGGTGACAGGACAAGGGGGAATGGGCTAAAGATGCACCATGGGAGGTTTAGGTTGGCTATTAGGAAGAACTTCTTTACCAAAAGGGTTGTTAGGCATTGGAATGGGCTGCCCAGGGAAGTGGTGGAGTCACCATCCCTGGAAGTCTTTAAAAGGCGTTTAGGTGTAGAGCTTAATGATATGGTTTAGTGGAGGGCTTGTTAGTGTTAGGTCAGAGATTGGACTAGGTGATCTTGGAGGTCTCTTCCAACCTAGATGATTCTATGATTCTGTGATAGTTACAATAATATTACATGTTTATATAGGTAGCATGTACAGACTTTAAACTCTTCAGGTGCACTGTGAGTGCCTTTCATTTCAAATATAATGTCTGTGGCAGTGGAGAAGATAACTGGAAAAAAAGAAAACAAACAAACAAACAAACAAAAAACAGATCTTTGTTGGCAACACCTAGGTATAACACTGGCTACAAGCACAATTACAGAATAAACTCGATGTCCTTGTATTAATTTTTTTGTTTGTTTGTTTGTTTTTTGATTTGTTGGCAGATCAAAAAAAAAAGTTAAATTTTCTTGTTTCTAAAGGCAGGAAGGGATTTTATCAATCATACAGGTAACCCAGGAAACAATAGTGTTAATTCCATCAGCAACTCACTTTCCCTTGACCGTACACTGAACCATTATTTATTTGTTACTGTTCTGGGATATCAGTAAGACTGCACCACCTTGTATATGCAAAAAAATAAAAATAAAAATAAATAAACAAAAACAAGCACTTAAGTCTTTGTAACTCTAAGCAGATATTACTTTACTCCTATTTTGAATAAGGTGGAACTGAAGTGTTGCAGAATTATTTTAAAAGTCTGTGATATACTTAGCAGATTTGGGTGTTAAATCTAGTGTTCTACTGAAATAGGTACAGCCCTCATTGATTTCAGTTCAATGCAAATGCAGTCATTTAAATCCTTCTGTAGATCCCAGTTGCCTATATCACACAAGATAAAATGACAATTTTACCTGAATGAAGGTTGCAGGAGTTAGTATACAGACAATTTTCTGATCTTACCATAGATATTCTCACTTATTCCTTCCTTTACTTTTTTACATTTCCTTAATATTTATTGAGGCAGAATCTTAGGATAATTCAGTTTGGAAGGGATCCAAGGACATTTCTAGTCAAATCTTCTGCTCAAATGCTCAAACTCAGGTCAGGCCAGGTTTCACAGGTCTGTGTGCATTCAGATCTTAAAAATGTCCAAGGATGGAGACCAGATCTTATAGTATCCTTCCAGTACTACAAGAAAGATGGGGAGGGATTCTATCAGGGGGTGAAATGATACAGGGGGTAACAGTTTGCAAATAAAACAGGATAGATTTAGCTTAGGCATTAGGAAGAAATTCTTTACTATGAGGATGGTGATGCAGTGGAAGAGGTTGCCCAGAAAAGCTGGAAAAGCCCCATCCCTGGAAGAGTTCAAGGCCTGGCTAGATGGGACTCTGAGCAATCTTATCTAGGGGGAGATGTCCCTGCCTATTGCAAGGGGTTTGGTCTTCAAATGATCTTCAAGTTCCCTTTAAACCCAACCATTCTAGGATTCTATCATTCATTGTTGACTTAGAGCAGCTTTGGGATTTGCTTTTGCTTCTGAATAGGGGTGCTTTAGAAGAACACAAAATCTGAATCACTTTCATCAAAAGTAGAATCACTGAGTTTGATTGAATCTTTAGATAATACTTTTTTTCTATCTTCCCTGATGTGCTAAATTCCAGTCATAGTTTTTTAGTGCCAGAAATTCTGGACCCAGGCTTGTCATTAGCAGGCAGGTCCAATACATGCTCTGTTTTCCCTCACTAGAGTATCCAGGGAGTTTGATCTCATTCAAAAATAGAAGAAAGTGAACACCTTTCTCCTGGATTTTTTCCCCTACGGATGTTCCTGCCAGAGGCTGTAATTCATATGATAAATTCGGGATTGCCCTTTTAGATACTAGTATCAATATCTTTCCATCAATTCACACACCAAGTAATTCCTTCAGTTTTTCATATCAGGTCAACAAAATCGTTTTTTTTTTTTTTTTTTTTTGGTTGGTTGGTTTGTTTGTTTGTTTTTGTTTTTGTTTTTTTTTTTTTTTTGTGGTTTGTTTGTTTTTTTGTTTGTTTGTTTGTTTTCCAAGTGGATGGCAATATATCTGTGGTCACTAGACACAGAGGTCTTCCACATTTGTCTTCATATGAATGACTAATTATGGTGAATGAATTCAGAAAGTCAGACACTAATTACAGGGAACATAGTTCAGTTCATTCCACAACCCTACACTCTGAACTTAGACTGAATGAAGGTTTTGCATCTTTCCTGCCTCATACACAACTTAGCATCATAGGTATACAAGATTCTTATGTATTCCTTGCCTTGTGTGATGAGGTTATCACTGAAAAATAAACCAAGTGATTTAAGCTGAGGCCACCCACTACAGCAGCCAGCACCACTAATTTATTCATCAACTCCAGTTTAACATTAATACACTACCAAGTTTGTAATTAAAAAAAATAGTCATGTTCTCTCTGTCATCTGCCTACAATAACTAACATCTTTTCTCCCATTGTTTTTCTAAGATGTTAGTCAGCCTACTTTGCTATTCTACCAGCTTCTTCTGTAATGAGTTTCACAGGACTACCATTCCCCGCTATTATTCCAGTAACATTTCTCTGTGTGGCTATAAAGCATGCCAATTTCTACTGCTCTCTCTTATCCTTAGTCACTACTTAGCTATAGATTTGTTTTACCTTTTTGATCTTTCTCATAAATCAATTCCTCCAGGACTCTTTATCGCTTTTCTTCCATTTCCTGATCTTGCTCTGTTTTCATCAATATCCTCTGAAGCCTTGATGTCCAGGATTGTGTCCTCCCCTGAGTGGTACAGAGAGATATTGCCTCGTTTTATTTCTTTCTTATGATGCATCTTCAAAACACCTCTTTGTTACACATTATTTTATTTGAGTTTATTTATGAATATCTTAACATGAAACGGTGTTTTAACTACAAAAGCAGCTAAATAAATCCTGAACTGGAGCGTATTTTCTTAGTTTTCTGGTAACCCTGAAAATTCCAGTAGCTTGTATTGTCTTCACCATGGATCATAGACTTGTTCTTTCCTTTTCAATGTAAACAGTGTTTGCTTCTTGCCTGGTCAAACATGTTAATAGCAACTGAGAAGAATGCTTCAAGAGCAAGCATAGTTATGCTGATGAAAAACTGAGATAGCAGTGTTGACTTTTCATGACCATTTAACCTGAGTCTTGCACAAGCTCTATTTCAGATTCTAGACACACTGACAAAATATCTGAGCTCACAAAACTAAATCTCAAATAAACTGAAAAAGAAATCTGTTTTTTGTTTGTTTGTTTGTTTGTTTGTTTGTTTTTCCATTCAGGTTTGAGCAATAGCTGATATTTTTAATTTTTAATTTTTTTTTTTCTTGGCATGTCATAGGATTCTAATTAAAATTTGGCTTCAGTCAAAGTAGAAACGCATAAAGACTCCAAATGAAAAATATTCCAAGTGACTATCATCTTTAGATGTTCAACTTCTGCCAGACTTTCCAGTCTACAATAGGTCTTATCCATGATCATAGAGGATGGCTATGTCAAAGCTCTGAGTAGAAATTAGAACAGTTGGGTCTCTATTTTGTTCCAAACACCATTCATCCTAACCTGAATCCGCTGGCCAGAACAATGTTTTTCTAAAAGTCTATTTGCATCTCATTCATTTTTATTTCTAGAGAACATCTTATTGGAAAACCTGAAGCTGATCCTGCTGCATCTTTGAAGAGATTACAGTAAGAACACTTTACTAGTTCATAAATGAGGACCGGACAACCTCAGATGGTCAAGTGAATGAAGTAAAGCTGAAAGTCGTACAGTGTATCACAAAAGGAGGCAAAAATAATGCTAAATTGTTGTCAATTCTTCTACCAAACCTAATGAAATTACAGTAATTTCTTCCAAATTTGAAGTGCTATCCAAGTATTCCATCCTCTCCTGTTTTAGAGCTGTTTGCTGCTATCCATTTAACACATAACAACAGTACTTTCTCATGAGCTCCAAACCTCACTGTTGGCCTCACTTTGCTCAGGTAGTGTTTAGTTTCTCCTAAAGCTACCAGGGATGTGTGCTATTGATCAAGAGTGTTCATCAATGACATATTTATTATCTAGCTTAAAAGTGTTTGAAATCACAGCTTGACAATTTGGAGAGTGACTTTTCACTCGGACACATGATGACAGGACAAGTGGGAATGGTTTTAAACTAAAAGAGGGGAGATTTAGATTAGATACTGGGAGGAAATTCTTCACTCAGAGAGTGGTGAGGCACTGGAAATTGTTGCTTAGAGAAGTTGTGGATACCCCATCCCTGAAAGCATTCAAGGCCAGGTTGGATGGGGCTCTGGGCAACCTGATCTAGTGGGTGACATCCCTGCTTATGGTAAGAGCATTGCAACTAGATAATCTTTAAGGCCCCTTCCAACCCAAGCCATTCTATGATTCTATGAGTCACTGCCTTTTTCTATGCATAGAATTATTACTTTTTAGTGAAAATAAAAATATATATATATATCAAATATAATTTATCTTTATTAACATTTATTTTCTTCTGCTTGGTACTATTTTATTTTATTTTATTTTATTTTATTTCATTTTATTTTATTTTATTTTATTTTATTTTATTGTGTTTCTGTGCTGTTTTATGTTTTATAGCACATCACATGAATAATGGTCATATGCCTTGCACCTGATTGTTTCTTTGCTCAGATTTGCTGGAACATTTGCTGGAAAGTTTCCAGTGTTACAAAGGCAACAAATAATCTTCATAAAATAGAACAGATGGCAGGCACCTTTGTATTTATTACAGCATTGTTGCTTTAGAAATCTACAGGTGCTAAGAAAAAGATGGAGCTTCATTCTCTGAGTCTTGTATCTGTTGCTTGTTTCATACTTTGTTAAAAACTATGGTAAATATGTCATATTTTTATGACCCAGTATCTTGGGTTTGTTTGTACAATTGCCTGTATACTTCTATTTTACCACTTAGTTTAATAAGAATATTGCAGTTTCAAAAGTAATCTTAGAATGGCAGCAGACAAAAAATCCTATCCTGGTATATGTTCACAAGTAATGAACTCATATTCAGTTAACATCCATCAAGTTGCTGAGAGTAGTCATGAGAATTGAATAAGATTTTCTTATCAGAGAATGGTTCTTACGTTTCTAATGGTTCTTATTGGTTCGTGCAAAACAGGATAGACCCAATAGAATCATAGAATTGTTTAAGTTGGAAAAAAACCCTCTAAAATCATCTAGTCCAACCTTTAGCTTAGCACTGCCAAGTCCACCATTAAACCATGTCTAAATCTACACATTTTTTTGAAGACCTCCAAGGATGGTGACTCAACTAGGCAGTCTGTTCCAATATTTCACAACCCTTTCAGTGAAGAATTGTTTCCTAATATCCAACCTTCCCCTCCCCCCCCTCCCCCCCAGCACAACTCAAGGTCATTTCTTCTTGTCTTATCACTTAGTGCTTGGGAGAATAGACCACCTCGCTACAGCCTTCTTTAAGGTGATTGTAGAAAGTGATAAGGTCTCCCCTGAACCTCCTCTTCACCAGGTTAAACAACCCCAGCTTCCTCAACTGATCCTCATAAAATTTGTTTTCTAGACCCTTCATCAGATTCATTGCCATTCTTTGGACATGTTCCAGCACCTCAAAGTCTTTCTTGTAGTGAGGGGCCCAAAACTGAACACAGTATTTGAGGTGCAGCCTCACCAGAGCCAAGTACAGGGGGACAATCTGTTCCCTAGTCATTCTGGCCACACAATTCCTGATACAAACCAGGATGCTGTTGGCCTTCTTGGCCACCTGAGCACACTGCTGGTTCATGTTCAGTCAGCTATTGACCAATACTCCCAGGTCCCTTTCCACCAGGCAACTCTCCAGCAACTCTTACCTCAGCCTGTAGCATTGCATGAGGCTGTTGTGCCCAAAGCACAGGATTCAACACCTAGCCTTACTGAACTTCAATAGAACAACTGAAAGAGAAATGGGAGATTATACAGTTCTTAGGATCTAGCTTCCACAGATATATATATATATATATATATATATATATATATATATATATATGTTTACATATATATATATATATATGTTTTGTATATATATATATATGTTTACTTCAGAATGCTGCAATTTGCACCAAATTGGCTCTCATTTACCAAAAAATAGCATATCTGAGTAACAGTATATAAGATTCCCTCCAAATTTGTTATCACCTTGTCTTTAAACCATGAAGTTCAAACACTACTCTACTGTAGACTAAATTGTAAATTCAATCAAGTCATTTCTTTAACTTGTAAGAAGAATATATATATATAGCCAGAGATAAATACATCTGGGCTGAAGATAAATAACTACATACTGTGGTGAAGAACAGAGGAGTTGCCTTAAAGCCACAAGAAGATATAAAGTAACATCATGACATCATGCTAAGACATTTTGAGACTGAAGTAGGAAAAGTTAATCAGTGTGTTGCACAACGAAATGACCACCTTTGGAAGTTCTGCAACATTCATATTTAGTCCAGAGTATTGTTTTCTTATTTGAACCATACTTCCTACAAATGTTCACTCACATAAATCAGTTCTTGACCTGCAAAAAATATACTGAAGAATATTATTTGGGTTGCAAAGCCAAAACATTGTGAGTTAGGAAATGCCTGAATCAGTGCTGTTTGTGAGTCTTCAGTCTACCCTTATGTGAATGTGCATGTTGTCTTTAATTACATGATCACATACTATTTTTCTCAAAGGACCCCTGACTCACTGAACACAACATTTGGAAAGTTCTCAGTGGATAAAGAAAATAAAGAAACAGTCATCCAAAAAGCACTATTATCCTGAAAGAAAGTTAAAGACTTTTCAGACAATAGTACAAAATTGATACAACAGAAATTGATTTTGTCTTGACAGAAATGAAGTGGGTGAATATTCATGAGTGGCCTTAAGGTATATAAATAAAAATAAGAATTTGACATATGGAATTTACTTTGATTGGAATTATCCTGTTTTCCTAATCATTTCTTTAGAATATTTCAGTATTTAAATTCCAGCAAGTTTTAAATAGATCAGGCTCTGTGATTTCTAATAATGTCTATAATAGTTACTCAAATATATTTCTCTGTGCCACCACAAATTTTCCTCCATATTGTGTTTGATAATAAAGATGATCATGCACAGTTTGAAACATATAATAGTAAGACAGCCCAGTTACATACAGAAATTATAAAGTAAGTAATTGTCTGTAGTTGTATTTAATTGCTAAGCAAGAGAAACAAAAGCAGCTGGAGAAACAAAAATGCTGCTAATCTTAATGCTAGGCAATAGTAGGAGAAATATACTCTGGATGAACAGGTATTACCGAAACATGGAGCACTGCTAGAAGATCATTAGACATAGGAAACTTATTCCAATTCTACCTCATAATGTAGTATTTTTCTCTGATTATGATTTATTGTCTTATTTTATGAAGATTATTCACCATCTGGAATAGTGCATAGATCACCAAAAATAGGAGGCAGAAGGCAGGATCTGAAAAAAATGCTATCCACCCAAATACTTAGCTCATTTATTCTAGAAGATATCTTGGATAGCACAAAAGCAATCAGTGCCACCTCCCATGACTTTTGACAATGTCTTCTGAAGACCAAAAATAAAACAAAATAAAATAAAATAAAATAAAATAAAATAAAATAAATAAAATAAAATAAAATAAAATAAAATAAAATAAAATAAATAAAATAAAATAAAATAAAATAAATAAAATAAATAAAATAAAATAAAATAAAATAATAAA